ATTCTTGTATAAGTCTTTATGTGAACATATGTTTTTGTTTCTCTTGAATAGGTACTTAGGAATGGAATTGCTTGGTCATATGATAAGTCTATGTTTTAACTCTTTCAGAAACTGCCAAACTGTTTTGACGGCACCATTTTATATTGCAGGAGCAATGCATGAGGGTTCCAGTTTCTCCAGGCTCTGGCCAATACCTATTATTGTCAATCTTTTTGATTACAACCCTTCTCATAGATGTGTAGTTTAACCTCATTATGGTATTAATTTGGATTGCTCCAGTGACTCATGATGTCATGATTAGTCGTTTGTGTATCTTCTTTTGTGAAATGTCTGTTCATATATTTTGTCCAAATTTTGTTTTAATTTGATAATTTTTCTTTTTCTGAGTTGTAAGAGATTTTATAATTTCTGGATATAAGTTCTTTATTCATATATATGATTTGCAAAGATTTTTCTCCCGTTGTATGACTTGTCTTTTCATTTTCTTAATGGTGCCTGTTGAAGAGCAAACATTTTTGATAAATTTCGGTTATCATTTTTCTTTCTTATGTGGATTCTGCTTTTGATATCATATTTAAGAAATCTTTGCCTAATCCAAGGTCACAGAGATTTTCTCTTCGGGAACGGGAATCAGCAAACTACAGCCTGCAGACCACATCAGGCCCACAACTTGTTATTGTAAATGTTTTATTGGAACATAGCCACACCCATTTATTTATGTATTGTCTATGGCTACTTTCGCTTTACAGTGACAGTTGAGGCGTTGCTACAGAGATTGTATGGCCCAGAAAACCTAATATATTAATTTATGGCCCCCTTCGAAAGATGTTTTCTGACCCCTATTCTAGAAGTGTTACAATTTTAGCTCTTATAGTTATTCTGTGATCCAGTTTGAGATATATTTTGTGTATGGTATGAGGTAAAAGTCCAAGTTCACTTGTTTTCATATGGATATGCAGTTATCCCAGTACCATTTGTTGAAAAGACTATTCTGTAAGTAATGAGTCATTTTTCTTTTGCTACATTTAAGATTTTCTCCTTATCTTTGGTTTTCCTCAGTTTTGTTGTGATGTATCTAGGTGGGGATCTCTTTGTGCTTATCCTACTTTGGGTTGTTGAGTTTCTTGGATCTTTAGATTAATGTTTCTGATGAAATTTGAAAAGTTTTCAGCCATTATTTCTCCTAATATTTTTACTATACCTTTTCTGAGACCCTTGTTGTATGCATTCTGGTTTGTTTGATGTTGTCTACACAGTACTCTGTTCACTTTTTCAGTCTTTTTTCCCCTCTGTTCTTTAGATGCGATAATTTATTTTATCTTTAATTTCACTGATTCTTTATGTAATACCGAATCTGCTCTTCAGACCATCTAGTGAATTTTTCATTTTAGTTATACTTTTCAACTCTAAAATTTCCATTTGGTTCTTTTTAATACTTTGCATTTCTTTGTTGGTATTTACTAGTTGTTTAGTCATTGTCATCATATATATATGTAGAGAGAGAGACAAACATGTATATATGTTTTTTAACTTTTTTAAGCATAGTTTCCTTTATTTCTTTGAACATATTTATAATAACTATTTTCAAGTCTTTGTCTGCTACATTCACTATCTGGTCCCACTTGGATACAGCTTCTACTGGCTGTTCTTTTTTTTCCCCTAAGAATGGGTCCCAGTTTCCTGTTTCTTTGGCTCGTAATTTTTTCTTGAAACTGGGCTTTTTACATAGTATATTGTAGCAACTCAATTCTGATTTTATTAATTTCTTCTGGTGGTGGTGGTGGTGGTGGTTGTTTCATTCATTCATACATTCATTTTTTTTAAAGTAACTTTCATGGACTCTATCTGCAGAATCTCTCTCTCTCACAATGTGTGGCTACTGATGTATCTCCTCAGCTTTTAAGAAATTCTTGTTTATACTGTTCACCTCAGCTTTCTAGAGATCGCCCCTGGGGCCGACCCTGTGGTGTAGTGGTTAAGTGCGCGGGCTCCACTGCTGGTGGCCCGGGTTCGGATCCCAGGCGGGGACCGAGGCACCACTTGTCAGGCCGTGCTGTGGCAGTGTCCCATATAAAGTGGAGGAAGATAGGCACAGATGTTAGCCCAGGGCCAGTCTTCCTCAGCAAAAAGGGGAGGATTGGCATGGATGTTAGCTCAGGGCTGATCTTCCTCACAAAAAGAAAAAAAATAGAGTTTGCCCCTGTGTCTGCATTGTTTAGTGCTTAGGTAATGATTAGTTGGAGATTGTACTTGAACACCTTGAGCCCGTAAGGCTTTCAACCTCTGTTGGTGGATTCTGTGTGTTTTGGGAAGCACATTGGAAGTTCAGGCCATTTTCAAGTTTGCCTCCTTTACTTTCTCTTGGGTCTTCTCCTGTCTCTTGTGCATGCATACAGATTTCCAGTTAGCCAGGGATGCCTGAGACTTGATCTCTCTCAGGTCTCTACTTTCCCTTGTGCTTGCTCTCACCCTCCCAATTAGCTGGCATTTTGAGGAAGCTTGGGACCTTTTGGGTTTCCCCTGCAAGTATGTGCTATCTCCTAGTCAGCCAGTGTTGTGTGGAGGGCATCAATCCTCTCCTCAGAATATGTGAATTTACCAAGTCCCTCTATGGCTCTCTCCTTTCCAGGATCGCCCTGTTAAATACTCCCTGAGGTAGTCCTCAGGCTTGTGGTTTACCTCATACAGTAATCTCAGGCTACAAGAGCTGCAGGCTTTTCTGCTTCCTGATGGGTGTGGTTTTCTGTTCTTTGCTCGAAATCAAAGTCAAGTCTCTTCAGCAGTGAAGCTGCTGGTTTTCACAGCCACCCTCACCTTGCTGGAACTACCATGTTTGTGGAGCAGGGGAGAGGGATGGAGGCGGCTCCTGGTAAGATGCCATACTTCCACTGTTCTTTCCAAGAAGTTCAGTTATTTTTCATGAATAAACTCTTCTCATTGTGTTTTTTGCCTTTGGTTGATTTCTAGAGCACAAATGGGTGTTTTTTTACAGTTTTAGCCAGTTTTATATTGTTTTTTGAGGGCGAGATTTTGTACTCCTTCACTAGGGAGGACCAACTTTGCAACTTGGATTCTAAAACCTAGAAATATTACATTTCAAAGCCAAAGGCTCTTTTGTCTAATTCATGCTTTGTGAGGATAGAGAACAATAGGTAATTTTTTAAGAGAAATGACAAAGAAAGGTGGATGGATGAATCTTGATCCAAAGCTTAGATTTCTAAGTAGTATGACGCTTTTACCTCTGTATAGGTAGATTTGCAAGCTCAAACTAAAGTTCATCAAATGATTTGGTGGCTCTTGTGGGAGGCAGACATGTGTTGTTTCTTCAGAGTGAGCCAACCATTGTTGACCAAGTACTTTCCTTATAGTGTTTGCTTGGTAACAGTTTTGTGAAATAGGTATTGTAATTAGGATCATTTTACAGATAAGGAAATAAACTTTTAGGTTAGTTAGTGACTTACCCATGCCTTCAACATTTGTATGTGAGAGAGATAGTACTTGAACCCATTTCTTCTGACTTCGTTTTTTGTATTCTATATAACTGCTTTCCTACCATGTTGTAATTACTTGCAGACTCTTTGATGATCTTAGTGTATTTATTTATGTAGGTAGTACTTGAAGTTAGAACAGTTCATAACAATCTTCTTAAATTTTTACTAGAGCTCAAATTCTTTTCTTTCAAATGGTAATCATTCTTAGCTTATCGAAGAGCCCCTATTCATTCATGCAGTTGTGAAACAAACTGGTAAGAGTCAGAGAAAGAGATATCCCATGGCAGCTTCCTCTGCCAGCTTCCTCTTTTTTTCTTACTCCATAGATGCAGATTCTGCCCAAGAAGCCCCTGCATTGCAGAGGGACTGGAGATCTGTATGATCTGTTTATTTCGCAATTGACAAGGGTAAGGGGGCCTTAATGGGGGAGGCGCTTGGGTGCCCTAAATTTAGCTTTTATGAAGCTGGGCTAACATTTGTTTTGGAAATACTTAAACTTAGTATTTTTAAAAACCCTTTTATGAATTCCATTTGTCCTACATCAGTTAAGTGTCAGGTTATCATCTTAAAAAACATTTATTATAATGGTGATTTTTTTTTTTTAAAGTCCTGTTCAGAGCAAGTCAGACAAACATGATTCACATTTCTAAAATTCCAAATCTGGGATCATTTAGAATATAAATAATATTGAATATATGTAAGTAAAATTTCACTACAATGAAATTTTAAGAGGTTTTAGATAAATGTCTATTTCTGTAGCCCGTCATAGTTATTCTTTATTAATCTGCTCTGTTCCTTTTCCATAAATCTGTCAATCTAGAGTGAAAAAGGGACTTGTGGTTATACCATAAACATTGTGGGTGGGTGTGGTGTCGTCTTCTTACTACTAGAAATTAATACCTACTTCCTTGAATTCTATGTCCAACCTAGATACCAGTGAAATTTGAGTTGTATCTTCAGACTGTCCTGTATCTGTTTATTAGTATAGGTGTAAGGTGCAGTTGGTGAATCTCATGAGAGCCAAGATTAAGTTTTATAGGTCTCACTTGGCAAGTTTGTAGAACAAGTGCCAGAAATGGTGGTATTCATAGTAGGATAGGGTTAAAATAGGTGAGGAAGAGTTTAATGCTCTTTTAAAATTGCAGAAGGTCCAGGCAGATGATTGTAGCTTTGATGAATAGTTGAGAAGACTCGACTTGGTCATGGTCTGATGGGCTTATTTTTGTTTTTGAGGATATTGTTATACCTGGTAGTGAAATAGCTTTGTTTACCTAAAGAAGTATTGTACATTTCTGTAATTTAAATAGATATTTTTAGTATTCTGTACCTCTTGTATTTTTAAATGGTCTTCTTTAAACATTTAATTTATAGGTTTTAAGAATTCAACAATATTATGTATATTATCCTTACCAGTATTAATAAATGTTCCACTTTTTAGTGCCAACACATTGGAAAACTATTTTTATTCTTAAACTTCTTAAATGACTTTTTTTTTCTGTTTTCTTTAAGCCATAAGGATGAGTTTACCATTATTCCTGTACTGGTTGGAGCTCTGAGTGAGTCAAAAGAACAGGAATTCGGAAAACTCTTCAGTAAATATCTAGCGGATCCTAGTAATCTCTTTGTGGTTTCTTCTGATTTCTGCCATTGGGGTAAGTTCTAGATTTTAACATATCATGGTAGATATTATATACTTGTGGTTAAAGGTATCTTTTCATTCTAAGCTCAGATTTTCAGTTCTTGATCGCTTTCCTTAGAAAGTTTTACTTTTAGCAGCAATGTTTAAAAGTGAATAAAAGTCTTTTGGTCATTTAAAAAGGATCAGATTATAATAGTGGATTATGGATACATTTCCAAAGGCGACTGGTATAATTGGATTCACACTGTGAGGGCATCCTTGCTTAGACACTTAACATTAGTGGAAGTTAAGATCTTGTAACCCCATTTCCAGGTAGAGTTGTATGGTAGATTCTGTGAAGTTAGTTTTTGGTGGATAAAATAAGTGTTCTTCTTTAGAACGTAGAAGAGCATGGTCTGCTATGCCAGTGCTTTTCCCCATTTCTTCTTTTGTAATTAGTCTTTTTTTCTTTCTTTTTTTTCCTTCAGTACTTAATTTTTGCCCATAGTTGTCTTCAGTTTAGAGCTTCCCTCCAAAGATTGTAACATGTTGGCTGTTAGCACTGTGGTCTTCATTGGTAATGGTTTATAAGGATAAGAACTCTTACGTGATTTTTTTTATTATTATGAACTAAAAGAATAAGGAAGCTTCACAGTGAATAGATCATAAAGGAAGTGAGACATTTGTGGATGCCTCTTTTAGTAAATTTTGTTTTTTAAATTCTTTGAATACAGTTTGCTCTCATTTATCCATTACTGTTCTAGAATATTTCTGAATCCTGTTCCTTTTAGGACATCTCTTTGACTCATTTATTCATTGGTTTAAGGATGCCAATATCTATTCATTCCCCAGTTATTTCTTTGGTTATAGAGAAAACATAAGGCACAAGACCAGAATTTTAAGATAAGAGTGCTAGAATGGCCAGGAAAACATCCTCAATGAGGATAGGGAGCCCTGGCTTTTACACGTCTTACCCATTGATTGCCCGAGTTGATTCAATATTTATCTGGCCTGGTTAGGCTGGTATCTTCTTCTCTTACCTCATGCTTGAGATTTCAGTTCAACAGAACCATTCTCTCTAATGGCATAGATAAGTCTTTTTGTTTAAGGCACTAATTTCTCAACTGGGGCTTATTGTCTTCCCAGGAGGATTTGGAAATGCTGGAGACATTTTTGGTCATCACAACTGGGATGGGGGTGGAAGGTGGGGATGCTGTTGGCATTTAGTGAGTAGAGTCCAGAGAAGCTGCTAAATAAACAGCCTACAATGCACAGGACAGCCCCCACATCAAAGAATTATCCTGCCCAAAATGTCAATAGTGCTGAAGTTGGGAAGCCCTGGTTTAGGGTGTGCAGGTGGCTGTGCAACCTTGCCAAACTCCTTAAGAGGTTCTCAGGGTTCTTTAGTAACAAATTCTGTTGGCTAGTTGGTTTGTTCCCTTTGGCAGAACTTGTGTTTTATGGATATAAATATATTACTTAGATCTGAGGGCTAGGTAGATGCTTAAAAAGAGTTCTTTTCTTGGGAATTCTGAAGTTTAATAGTAGTTGATCTTAAAAACTAAGGAATATCATTATTGAAAAAAGGGCTGTGTTTCTTAGTATTGTGAATTTGCATTGGTAATAAAGCATATCCATATGTTTTAGAAATTAAAAATTCTTGAAGCATGTGCCCCCTCCCTCTTCATTTTTAAGGCTGTTATGAATCACTATAAATCACTATGATTTCAATAATTAGTTCCCCTGATATTGTTCTTCAGAGTCTAAGCTCTCCCTCTAGGTTGGCACTATGTGCAACCACAACATAAATCGAAATAAAACATCAGTAGATGTCTTAATAGTGCTCTTTTCTGTAGAATCATCCTTTTTACCTCATTAATGAATTCTAAAGCAACCAAACCCTAGTCTACTACTATATTTAAGTACAATGTTGAGAGAGAAAAATGAAAAATGTTTTACATTGTTCCTAGATTCTCAGAAAATTATTTTAGGCCATTTGCTCTCCTGATTTCTGGAAAATTTCGGTATTTAAATTATAAGATAGAATCTCCTGCTAATAATTACAAAAAAGGACTCAAAATTTCCAAATGTTGATAAATGTTAGCTATGGGAATTATCCAGAGACTGAAACATATTTATGTTTACGTTTGGCGGTTGAATAATAGAACTTTTCCAAATGTTTATTTTTTTTAGTATCGCTATCACTAACAGTACTCACTGAGTGCTTCCTTTGTGCTTATGGAAAGCACTGTACTTATTCTTATTAGGAAATTTGATGGAGGTTTGGGGGTAAGTGGAAGGTGTTGCGTGGATACTATTCCAAAATCGGTAGTCTCCTTTCCGTAAGAGTAATAATAACTGTCATTCTTGTAAAGTAAGATTCATTTTCTATTTTACATGCCTATTGAAGTACTATGAATCATTGGCTAGTTATTGGTTAAACTGTCTTTACTTAGAAATTAAGTTTCATATTTCTTGAATTCATTCTCTAGTGGCATTGATCATCTTTTCTAAATTAATGAGTGCTATATTCCCATCTCAAAAATCTAGCTTTTTCTTATAAACATAATGCTTAGTGGTTTCTTCTTTTTCTTTTTTTAACGATACTATACAGATTGATTTTGCCATACCAGCGTAATGATAACACTGAATTCTAAATCATTTCACAGGAAGTATTCCATTCCACAAGTACTCAGAGACCTTAAAAGTTTCATTGAGTTAGGCTCTTAACACACTCCACATTTCTAAATAGCTGATTTTTGAAGAAAAATCACTTAATTGATTATGGTACAGTTGACAAATCACCCAGATACATACAGTGGAATTTTTTTGTTCTTTTTGTTGAATAATATGTTAGAGTACTGGCAGTGATGACATTTTTCACTTCTAGTTGTTGTTTCTCTTTATATTTTTCTCCAGCTTCTGTGAAGAATAAAGAGAGAAACTTGGTGATAGAGACAGTTGGGGAGGCCTATATGTAATTGGAAGGATTTTGCCTTGTTGATGTTATTTGTTAGCCAATGTCCATTACAAGAATGACTTTTTTTTTTTTTTAATTTTATTTATTTATTTTTCCCCCAAAGCGCCAGTAGATACTTGTATGTCATAGCTGCACATCCCTCTAGTTGCTGTATGTGGGACACGGCCTCAGCATGGCCGGACAAGCGGTGCGTTGGTGCGTGCCCGGGATCTGAACCTGGGCCGCCAGTAGCGGAGCGCGTGCGCTTAACCGCTAAGCCACGGGGCCGGCCCTAAGAATGACTTTTTTTTTAAGTGTATTTTGCTTTAAAGATATTCATCTTTCAGATCCCGTTTAACTTTTATTTAGACTTGAAAGAGACATTAGGGAGATAAAAAATAGAAAGTTTTCTTTTTGGGTGAGACAAGCCAAGGGATAGTTGGGAGCACAGATTCTGTTATTCCCCTTCTTTCTATCCTCTCATTTGACTTCTCCCCAAAAAATCTGCATTTCAGTTCCTGCCTTGTATCTTATCGTTAGTCTCGATGCATATGAAAATGCATTAGTCGGCTCAATAGGATAGTGTTTCCCTGGTAACACTTACAATGATCCTGCCTCATTTCACCTGTCCTGCTACTATCAGGAACAGTGGCATAAGTAAAAGGACATTGGCTGCTAGTATTTGATTTTTACTATGGTTAAGTAATGTTGTGTACTTAAGTTCCACATCCTGTAGGATGGTTCCATATAAGAGAATTTTGTCTGGACCTGTTTAGTTTTTCTAATTAGTAGAATTTTCATTCTATTTTCCTAAGTTTCATTTTTACTCTTCTCTATATTTACTGTTAATATTTGTGTTTTCCTGACCTCCCTGAAATCTATATTTCCAAATTTAGGTTATTGACAGCTTTCATTAACATAATTTTTAGTTAACTTCTAAAAAGTTTCTAAATGAAACTGGATCTAACAGAACTTGATTCTTTAAAAGTGGATTCATGCATCTATTTAATTTTCCTTTTATGGTAGTTTTAAGTGCAAATCAATTTCAATAAATTTACTTGGTAAATGATAATGGTAAATTATATTATTTTCTTAAAATATGAATAAATTTCACTACAGTCACTTTAGCAGTTTTGAATTTTATCTACAAACATATTTGTCTAGGTTTACATAATTGTTTTTTCATAAATATGTGCCACTTATTAAAAGTGATGTTCCCCTAAATATTTATGATATTTATGTCTTTAGTCAGATTTATAGTTTAATATATATTAAAAAATACGTTTTCATGCATACTCTTCTTCCTTTCTTTTGTTAGTCTCCTGGGTATGAGGGTATTACTATTTTCTAAATATTTAAGTTGGTTTGAGTGTAAGTTAGCTAATTCCTGAAATATATCTTAATCCAAGCTTTCATATTTGTCTTCTCAAATATTTGTACATACTGAATTCACATATTTAGGTTTTTGATCTTTTGTAAGTTTGAGAGAAGGCTAATACTTTTACATTATAACTAAGACTTCAGAATGAAAGGACTATAGTATTTTGCTTATAAAAATGATTATTTGATGCTACTTAGATAATATTTCCTTTATGAAATACATTTTTTCTTTGGTAGAGATTTCAATTATGAATGTCCTCAGTGTAGGTCCTTAGTATAGAATAGCCTGTTACTCTTATCTCCCAGGTTGTTGTGAGGTTTATCTCAAATATTTGAAAACATTTCAACATATAAACGTAAAATGATTAAGTGAATGTATAACAGTACAATTTTCACTGGACATACAACTGAAAGTCTGTCTTATTGACTGATCTTTTGGGGCTTTATAGATCAACTTTCCAAGCTTATTCATTGTTTATTTCTGCAATCCAGTGTTTAGCTTAATGTTGAGGTAATTAATACTTTTTTACTTTTTGTTTTGAGGTACTTAAAAGTAGTATTGGTTCTTGTACCATTCATTGTTATGTTTGTCCTCATTAGTTGATTGTTGTGTGTTAAACAGACATCCCTGGAGCTTATTCTCCACACTCTGTGAATCCACTCATTAAAATCACCAGTCACCTTTGGAGATGGGAAAATTACTTACCTGTATTTCTTTTTCTCAGAAAGCGTGCTCTGGAATGGATTCACAAATGAGCTACCCTCCTTCCCTCAAAGAGTAAGGTTTCTGCTTTACAGGATTTTTTTCTTGGGTTATTTTTCCTCTCATCTTTTGAATTTGAAAAGAACTGAGGGAAGGCACCTGAAGAAACTACTGACATACTCACTAGGGGAGTTCCAAAGCTTGTGCTGCCCCTAGGGGCAGTGTCAATGGCTCTTAAAGCTAGAAAGCTCATACTTGGAGTTGAAACAGGGGCTCAAAGAATCCATTTTCCCAGTGTACCTTCTGAAAGGATAAGTTTCAGGTAAGTAATTTTCTCTTACTACGTGATATGCTTTATTCATACTTGTAGAAGTACACAAGTCCAGTTCTCCAGGTACATAGGCAACTGTATTTGTTCAGTTTAGATGCATAAGCTCTACTGAATGTTAGAAATGTTGTAAAACAAAATATATCTGCTCATGAGGTACATGAAATCATAATATATTTTAAATAAACAATAAATATTTAATTAAAGGTGCATTTATGGTCAGTGTATGTGGTAGTGTTGCCATTTATTTTATTTCTTATAAATAAAATCTTGATCAACTTAATTTTTTAGGAATTAGAAACAAAAAAAGATCTTTTGAACTCAAATTCCAAGTGGTGTTTAATTAAAGTTAGTTACCTACATACATACATACATACATACATACAGGCTAAGGTGATGGCAACTATTTATTTCAAATTAGATGCTTTCTGTAAGTATATTGACCAGAATGAATTACTCAAGTAATTTTTAAATATTGGTACAATTTTTAAAAATTATCGTGAGACAGTTTGAGCTGTTGTGAGATATTGTCTTAGTGTAGTAGCTATATGTAGTGTGGATTTAGCTTCTTAACTGATATATTCTTTAGAGCTCATCAGATATTTCTACTCAATTCTTCAGCTACTAAATGTGATGTGGCTATTAAAGAGTAGCAAAAAGTTGATAGCAAAATATTAAACATTTGCTCGTTGATTTTCTGTGCACTTTATCATTCTTATTAAATCACATGTTGATTTAGTATCTTAAAGTATTTCAAAAATTCTGTGTACTTTTCTCTTACTTTAGAAGTAGTTTTTAAGTGAAAGTTACATTGTAAATGGTCCATATGAACAAGACAACATTTTAAAATATGGTTACACTTTTCACTTACGATTAGGGCAAGTTAGACCAACTTCAACCGTTTGAAACAGCAGCTCTGAACTTAGGAATAAACAGAAAGGGGTTTTGAGTAGCAAATGACTGTCACAAAGTACATGCATTTTTCTCTGCACCTGAGAGTAGCAGTCTTCAGATAAGACAATTATGTCCCAGTCACAAGGATTGTTGAAGCTAAAGCTACCAGCTATCTCCAGAAGCAAGAAAAAGAGAATACATTAGTATAAACTTGAAGCAGTTCAGATTCAAAGAATACTCATCTTGATTTCTTCCAAGGATATTACTCTTACTACAGTGACAGTGACAGAATTTTCTTATCTAAGATTATTCATTTAATTGTTCATTCATTTCACAGAAGATTTTGGGCAGCTTTATCAGAAGAACTTTGAAATAGTAGAAATTTAGTACCAATGATTTGAATCAATAAATTATTGTGACAGACTTTAGATTTGGCTTTGAGCCTTCTGACAGCCACCTAGCAAATAGGAAAAATAGGGTCTATATATAGTTCTCATTATTAGGTAGGAGAAATACATACATTCTTTAAAGAAAAACAAAGCTATACCTAACTCTAAATTTTGAGGGAAATGTCTGATGAATTATTTAATGTAGGGGCATTGAGTGATGTATTGTCACTAAGAATTTTTTTAGTGCAAGGACTGTAATGGATCTCATAGTTACGGCAATATGCAGTAATCTTCAATGTTAATGAAAAAAGGTTGTTATATTCGGAAAGCAGATAATTGTCTCAGAACTCTGTTGCTTGATTCTAGGATATCATGAATTTTAGGATGCCATATTGATTTAATAATGGCTCTTGGGGGAAAATAAGAACTGCCGCATTGAGTAATTGTACATATTAATGTATGTGAAAAGTTAAGGAAATATGATATATTGTAGAAAGGTGACCATCAAAAGTGCTCAGCATCAACAAGTAAATAAAAGGTTAAGAAATGTGATGTGTGGTTTTTCCAAAATTGGACGTTAAAAGGGTTTTATAATTTTGCATTGCTCATTATTTATAAGATGATATTTTTTAGTAAAATAAACAGAAAACTTAAAAATCATAATTATACAAAGAAACCCATCTCCTCAGATGTGAGGATAATAATTGGGCATGTGAACATTGCTCTAAAAATGAAGCACAAGGCACAGTGTGTGCATACATGATTGGTGTACTCTAATACCTTTAGAAATGCATTTTGGTGAATCTTTAAAAATAAGGAAGTAAACAAGTAATGAGTTCTTAGAAATAAAGGCATCATTGAAATATAGGTTTAGATGTATCTGAAATACAGCATAATCAGTTGAAGAACAATCTACAATTAGTTATGAATCTGTTTAACGTTTGGTTTTCATATGACTATAGTAGGAAGCAAAATTTATTTCCTGAGCCTTTGTTTTCTGTCTTCTTTTTACTCTTCTTCCATTTTACTCTCTCTGTTCTTTGGAGAACAGCTAAACATTGAATGTTCTGTGCTTGTGCCCTTATTTTGATTTTATTGTTAGAATAGGACTATTTAATTATATTTGTCCTTTTGTTCACCCTATTTTAAGGCACTTGTATTGATCTTTTTCCAAGTAGAAAGTTTTGCAAAAATAAGATAAATTTTTAAATTGAGGTCATAAAAATCACACAGGCCACTTGTATCTCTGGCCTACACTTGTTTTCTGTAATAGAAATCAAATCTTTGCATTTGTACAGCAAAAGCTAAGCTTTCATTGATTTGTTACATTGAGATAGTTTCCTTAAACCAAATTTTCTTGAATCGTATTCTTTGGGTTTACTTTCCATTGTAGACTGATATAATATGTTTAACAATGCTTCTAACTTTAAAGCTGTTTTGTTTCCTTAGTCTTTTGTATTGCTTGTGACTTTAAGGTTCTACAATGAAATAGTTTTTAACATCATAAAACACTGGTGATATATCATTTCTTTACTACCTTCCCAAATATGCCTTTTATTTTTATGTACAAGGGCTCTTGGGAATGATTCTCTCAGAGGCTTAAGCTGTGCTTTGCCTTCCGTGAGAACTGAAAGTATTTGGTAAGCGCTTGCTTTCTTTTTAGCTTCTAATTTTTCCCTATTTTATTTTGTACATGATATTTGTTTCAAGGTCAAAGGTTCCGTTACAGTTACTATGATGAATCCCAGGGGGAGATTTATAGATCCATTGAACATCTAGATAAAATGGTAAGTCTTTCAGGTGTGGGGTTTTAATGCTCTAAGGTTTTTTCTTTAATTTCAGATTAGTGATTCAAGACAATATGTTGAAATATACAATGGACTAATAATTCTTTCCCTATCTTTAACTAAATGTGCAAAATATAGTTTGTAATCATATGAATATTATAATAAAAATAATCCCTGTTCTATTAGTAGAAATTTTCCTTCATCTTAATTTTATTTGATTAATGAGACTATTTAAGAATAATTAGATAGGATTTTAGATACTATTTGGGGGAGTGTCGTAGTTTTAGGGACTACAGGTTACTAATGCCATTACTTACTGTTAAGCAGAAACAACTATAGCAAATTCTTAGTTCATTTTATTATTTAATTCTATTTTTTGGCCATTTGGATTTTTCTTAAATGGAATTTCAATTTGTGGTTTTAAATATAGAATTTTAAATATGATTGTATTCTTACCTAGCCCAGGAGTACAGTAGACATTGATCCTGCTCTCATTTTCCTTGAAGTAGTATGGTAGTCATAGTACTTGTTATAATATTTAAAAAGTCATATAAATCGTTTTGGTATCTACTCATAAGCAGAATATCAAATCTAGCAGATATGTCTCTAACTTGCTCTGACCTTCAACAGATCATTTCAGTTCTCCAGTCCTCAATTCGTCATCTCTAAGATGAGAGACTTGGAGTGGATGGTCTCTAAATTGTTTTTAAACTCTGTCAGCCTTTAAGCTTCTATATGTTATCTGTTAAAATCAGCTTTACCACTGTATGAAAAGCTTTATGCATATGATTTAAGATATGATATGATTTAATATATTTACAAGAATATTTAAAGTAGATAAAACATTTTAGTAAGGAATCTGGATCTAAACTATAGGTAGATTATATCTCGTAGTATATTTTATTAAAAGCCAAATGGAATGAATGCAAATTTGGTTACTTAGGAGATTTTATCATATTTAAATTTATCTTCTTATTCTAAATCCATATTATGACCTAATACTTTTACCTTCGGAATTTTGTTTGGATTTTAATCTACTGACTTTTCTTGGACTTTATGATATTGTCATTTCAGTCATTAATTCTTTTCTGACTTTTACTTCTTATTTTTGTGAGGTTTAGTTCTCAATTGCCTCAGAAAATTTTTCTGATTCTATCATCATTTATCTTCTTCATGTTGCAAATGGTTACTGGGTGTCTACTGTGTGTCTGGTACTGTGTGAAGTATTGAAGATATTAAGAAGCGAAAACATGGTCTCTGAGTTAATGAAACTTACAGTCTAGTTATCCAACAGACTTAGAAAGAAGCTATGACAATATAGAGATGTAAGAGAGATTTAGGAGGTAGTGTGGACACACTGGTCTCCTTACAGTTCCGCGATAATGCCACATATATGCCTAGCTTATGGCTTTTGCCCTTTTTGCACTTGACTGTCTCACTTACCTTATGACTTTGCTCAGTTTTCACCTTCCCGACGAGGCCTACTGACCATTCTGTTTAATTTTGCATCCTACCTGCCACCCTTTCAGCATTCCCAATCCACCTTCCCCTGCTCCACTTTTTCTTCTAACAAACTAAATATTTACTTATTTGTTACAGTTTTGTTAGTCAGGGTTTGTTTTGTTCACTGATGTATCCAAAGTGCTTGGAATAGTGATTAGAACGTAAGTAGGTGCTCAATAAATATTTTTCAAATGAATGAATTAGTGAGTATACTCTTCCTATATACATAATTAAATGAAAACTTTAACTGTGATATCTGAAAGAAAGAAAAGGAAAGTAATTTATAATAAATTAATATATA